GATAGCTTGACCACAGCCATGGGGGAGTGTTTGCATCAGAGAAACTAGCAAACTGTCCAAATAACACCCTTCCTTTACACCCACTGTCTAGTCCCGAGCCAGTTGATTAATATTTACTAGCAGATTGTTTATGTGAGGGCTTTTCTGCAAGACTGTGAGTTCCAGGAGCCTGTATCCTTAGCACCCAGTACAATGCTCGGCACATAGCTGACAGACAAATATTTGTACAATGAATGAACGCAGTTTGTAATCAGTTTGTAATCACTCAGTCTTCAATCCTCAATATGAATCCTTGATTCATATCCTGGCTCTATCACTCACCTAGGTGTGCGACTTTATAGTTATTTTAACCTATATTTGTTAGCAAAATGGGGATCATAATAGCAGCCTTGTATGATTGTTATGAGGATTAATGAAAAGACCTGGCTACATGTTTGGTACATAGTAGGTGCAAAAAAATTAGTTGATATTTATTATTATTACCTAAGAAATAGACATAAATGTCATTAGGGGCCAAGAACTTTTCACTTATTTAGATTTGTATTTGTATGCAGATTTTATATTAAGTGTTTAACCACAAAGTGGATTAGAATCAAGAATGTAGTACTGTTATTTTTGTGCGTGTACATACTTCTCCTTCCCACACAAAATAATGGGGTATATTAAAAGGAATATGATATATAAGAGGCAAAAAGCAGTCTTTCTGTTGTGTTTGGCTTGGCTTAGACTCTTTTACAGTATCATGTCCAGTTCGACATTGCTCATTGTAAGGAAGATGTGAAGAAACAGCATGGAGTGTGTCCTGGGAAGAAGTAACAACTGTGATTAAAGGGTTAGATAATAGGTCCTTTGAGGGAAGTTGAAGGAATTGAGTTTGTTTACTCTGGAAAGGAGACGGTAAGGGAGTTACTTAACTATCTTCAAGTATATGAAGGGTTATTATAAGGAGGATGCTCTCAAGTTGGTCTCCAAATGCACAGAAGACTGAACAAAGAAATTGACATATGTCATGTAAAGAAAATTGTGTTAAACATTGAAATTGACTATCAAGAGATGTCATGGAATCTTCCTTTTTTGAAAATACTTAAAAAGAGCAGCAGCAGATGGTTATTTATTGAAAAGTTTAAATATTTAACTTCATGAAGGCATGTGGCAGGAATATAGACCTTAGTCTTTTTCTCATCTGGAGTATGATAGTCTTATATTTATTGTAGTTTATTAAGCATATCCCAGATACTTTATTAAGCTGGGAAACCACTCACAATTTGGATGAAATTATACCTTAGACTGCATTGCATCTTAATTGCTGGATTTATCTTGAATGAAATAATTCAGTGTTATCTCTCTGCTAGTAATTAATTTAAACTGAAGTCAATTTGTCTATAAAACAGTCCACGTTTGTATTTTCACTCTCTACTTGACATAATTGAAGCATTATTAAAACGTAATCTATATTAACATATTTTTTTCATGTATTTGCATTTCATATATTTTGTAACTCTTTTGTGACAGGGAATCCTCTTGGTATACGACATTACAAACTACCAAAGCTTTGAGAATTTAGAAGATTGGTATTCTGTGGTGAAGAAAGTGAGTGAGGAGTCAGAAACTAAGCCACTAGTTGCCTTGGTGGGCAATAAAAGTAAGTTATTAATACTTATTTATGTATAGTAGATTTAATTTGGCCAGCTTGTAGTTTATTCCTGAAGAAAAGATTTGATATTTGGAAGCATAGATAGATACAGCTTTCCTTGAGTGAGCAAATTGCTTGAGCAGAGAATTCCTAGGGGTATGTACAATCTTTTTAGTAACTGTTTTGATGCTTGGTCTGTCAGTTGCTCTGCTGCTTTGACCAGTTCCTGTTAAGGTAAGTTCAGTTCTGACTGTGTGTTTTGGCTTCCTGTGTTCTTAGGAAGCTACGTGGACTATTAGGAACAGTAACACAGCTGCAGATTTTATGATAGTGAACTTCAGCTTCAGCTCTGCCCTAGAGATTTCAAGAGATACAGTTTATTAAATGATATCCTCTTCTGGGGAAGGAAGCAGTTTCAGCATGGAATTTTGTATGCATTATCCCTTGCTCCCATCTCTCATAACCTTCCTTTTTTGAATGTTTGGGATTTGTTCTGAAAGACAGATTTTTTTTTTTTTTTAGAGAATGTATTAGGTAAGAACAGTTCTTGGTAAAAATGATAGATAAATAATTTTTGAGATCTGTCTTTTGGGCTATGTATATAGCATATAAAAATCATAAGACTAAATTAAATATAGAACTGTTATTTGGTACTGGAAAGAAAATTGTAAAAAGGGTTTTCAAATATATGAAATATTATGATATAACCTGATCTTCTCCAACTTATTTGAGGTCAGGAAAAGAGAAAATGAATTCAAATTGTACCATAGGGGATTTAGGTCAGGAACTGTTTCCTGATGACAAGGCTAGTTAAACCAATACCCGAGAATACTATCAAGAGAATTATCTTTGCCAGAGGTCTTTTAAAGTATGATACTCTTTTTTTTTTGGTTCCTCTATAATTGTTTAGGAAATAGTTCTTCCTGAAGGACCAAACCAAGATTTCTACAATATGTGATTTTGCACTCTTAGGTGAACATTTAATAAATCCAAGCCTTACTTTAAAATCTTTACAAAACAGGTGTGGATGTCATTTCCCAGAAGAGCTGGAAGTGCAGATACCATCATACTTTATAAAAAAAATAGTATGACTTATCGTAAAATGGTGAAACTTGGGTAGAAAGCATATGGTATTTATTTATTTATTTTTGTAAAGCTTTAGTTAAATTTTGTTCCTTTGATTTGGAAACAATTCTTTTTAATGTGAATTATATGCTTCTGAGTTTATTAAAATTGTCCTTTACCAATTATATGTTTGACAAGCTTAGGCTCTATTTTTGTGTGTCACTTTTGATTTGGGAGATTGTATCTCAGTTATATGTTACGTAATAAAGCATTGGCTTATATTGTGGTTAAATTTGTGCTTCATTGGAGGCTTTTCCATCACCTTTTGGGAAGTACAGAGTAGAGGAGGAATGGAGGTTGAGATTTGTTTTCATTTCTTTCCGGATCTAATCTAACCACCATCTGGGGTAATGGTGTAGTGGTGCATAATTATATACATTATGTTATGTGTTTATGCTATTCTGTGAGGCATCCAACATTGGTCACTGTCAAAGACAGGCTATCAGACGAGATGGGCTATTGGACTGCTCTGGTGGTGCCATTCCCAGGTTTTGAAAGCAAATATTTATATAAGTTATATGAATTCATGCAAAAAATTAATTCAGTGTGTTATGTTTGAGAATTTAATAGCATAAGAGTCAAGAGTTTTTTTTTAACTTTGGGCTTAGCTGTAACCCCTTTCTTGTATATATTTATAATACTCTCTTTCAGAACAGGATCATATAACAGAGTATGCAGTCACATAGAATGTTATATATGTAAAATGAAGAGATTATAGACTAACATTTCCCTGGATATTATTTACTGCATAATCTGTGCCTGGCCCAATTTCATGTGATCATGTAATGAAAGATCCTTCTGCAGTTAAGGCTATTAGAGTTTTACCTTTAAGTCTCTTGAATATTTTACAATTTGTATTTCCAAACTGATGTTACATTAGTGTAGTATGTACTCATTTTCTGGTTTGAGAGTATAATCATATTAAAAAGCAGTGGAGTTAACACAGATTTTACACATTTGTTAAAGGCAAAGTTGGAGAAACATGGAAAAACATGTGAAGCTACATTATTGTGTTCACTGTCTAAACATAGTCATATTCTGCCTAAGTGTGCTATTCATTGTGACTGTGTTCTGGTTTTGGTAGGCTGAATAGAAAGCACATGTTGAAAAGAAATAGCCAGAGCTGTGAGAATATTGGTAGCCTTAGTCAACTTTTAGCCAAAGCTTGGTTGAAGGAGAGAGGGAAAGAGAATATACATTTCCATACAAGCTGTGGGTATCTGTGTGGATTTGTTCCATGCTTAGAGCTTATAATTAGTAAGTTATAAGATCATTAGCTGTTTAATAAAATATAATAAATTCTCACAGACTTGGGATGAGGATTGAGGCTAGTTTGATGAAAGGAAGAATTAGGGGGTTATATTTATAAAAATATAAATCATGGATCATGGAGCTGGTGCGGGATCAGGCGGTGTTTCGTTCTGCTCTGCATGGGATCGCTATGAGTCAGAAATGACTCAAGGGCACCTAACAACATTTGTAAAAAAAAAAAAAAAAGAAAAAAGTTTTCTCATGTTTGAATAAAAATAGTAACCAGATTAGGTTAATGACATCACCAGCAGAGGAAAGGACTTACTTTAATGAAATAAACAGAATGATTGGTAATAATAAATTATTTCAGTATGTAATACTTAAATTTATTTTATTCCAATTTTCTATTTTGAAAGAGTAGAAGTCACTAGTTAGTGTTCTTTCTTTATATTGTTTAGGATGTTAAATGAAGTATTGAGTAGTGTAGATGTTAAGGACAGGGAACTTAGGATTTAGATACAGCTGCTCCCTGGAAGCTCTGATGGCCTAATGCCTAAGGCATTTGACTGCTAACCAGAAGGCTGGTGGTTCAAATCCACCAGCTACTCCTCGGAAGGAA